CCCCAAAACCCCAAAACCCCAAAACCCCAAAACCCCATTTTGATAATAAAATTATGAAGAAAAGAGAAGCAAGGAGGTTTTCCAAGCGCACTTCAATCTTTGGAATTCAAGACCAAACTTCAAAGAGTATTCCAAGGCCAAAACTTAATCACAGTAAGTTACAGGCTGTTTCCAAGGGTGCCTGGAGGCACCCTTGGAAATACTGCCTTCTTATTGAAATTATGATTCTACTTTGGAAACTTCAAATTGTTGTTTACAAAGAATGTTAAGACATTTTATAGCGGCTACTAAGCAGATTGTGAGCCCAAAGCAGCGATACGAAAAACCAGTGAAACTTCTGAGGTTCAGTTACACAAAAACTCCTAAGAAATTTGACAGCAGTTTTAGCGATGATTCTCCCCATGAGAGTAAATTAATAAAGTAAAGCTTGATTCCTTTAACAAATTTATGGTTTAACGAAATCACCCGGTTCTGGTTGGTGAATCATGAAGTTTTTACACAATTTTAGGGAATTGGAGAACTATAATATATTACCAGATAAGAAGTTACAAGACAAGCTTGATTACTTCTTCAACCCGTATAATAAGAAAATATTTCTCAATAAATGCTACTGTAAGTACTGGTCCGGCTACCATCTTGAGAGCCCAATCTTTTGAAAATTAACGTTTCAACCAAGATTGACTTGCTATAGATCCTGAAGAGCCAAAATAAGTGGGAAAGTATTGGTAAGTTTGTCCAACTTAGTCTCTAGCAAACTTGATTCTGGGAAACAATCCGAAATTAATGCGTCAAACACTGAAAAATATCAACCAAGGATTCTACAAAGAGCTATTAGATGTGAAAGAATGGGCAGCCAAGAACCGAGCTAATTATAAATGGAATAAGGTGATCAACCAAACTGTTGACATACGTACTTCCAAAGATTCATCTCGTCGTACAAGGTATGGGACCTGTTCTCAAATAGTGGGTTAAGCAAAACTAGTGGGCCTAAATCCTCTCTTCTCAAGCTCACTAATGCAGTCAAGAGCATGATTCGAAACAAGAAGGAGCTAAAAATAATCAAAGAAGAGGTTACATCAGTTTCTTCGGGTGAGGACTCTCCAGGAACCTCAACACTTCTCAAACTGCTTCGCAGGAAGAAGAAGGTTGAGGCTGAAAAACTTGAAGCGAAGGAGGACTACACTTATGCTAGGGATTTCAAAAAGTAAATTCTCTTTGACTCCATAGCCTGTCGATGATTTACAAATAACATTCAGTCTTCTGATCCAAAATCTAAGAAGCCGCCTAGCACGACTTCTCTTCAGTGTAAATCCTCCTTCTTCATGCGTAGTTGTGAAGTCAGATCCGAGCCTGATTCCTAACTTCAGCTTAGTAAAGGGACCAGTGAATGAAGAGGCTGAAGAGCTGGATTCTGGCATAGTTGGCACAGTCCAGGAACAGCTAGGAGGGATTAGGGTAAGCAGAGCGATTTGAGGGAGATGAATGGGGTAGTGGGGCAGTTAATGGGTTTCATGGGTTTAGAGGGGATGGGAATTAGGGAGAGAGATGTATGAGACTTTTTAGATGTTATTGGGTTTCATTTGAGTTTGTAGAAGATTTTGTGATTTTTCAATTATTTGATGTCAAATTTTGCTTTAGAGCTCTAAAACTCCGCTTACCGTGGCTAAGCCTACCAAAAAGAAATCAGAAGGCTTCACAGATCCTTCAGTAAATCTCTTCCTGTAATCCTTCAGGCGTTTAAAAACTACTTCAAAGTAAGCACAGAACGAATCAAACGAAATATTTCAAGCACAAATTTCCTCAAAGCAGTAAACGAAAATGTATTAATACTTTAGCAAACTCCCAAAAGCCCCAAAGAAGACGCCAAGCAGTAAATATCCCCTTTATGGCTTAGAGAATCTAGAATTCCCCGAAGAAGGAAGATGACCTACAAACAGAAAAGTGTTGAAAAAGATCTTCAAGAAGGAATCCAAGAGCAAGAAGGTAAATTTTAGAGCCTCTATTGGGATTTCAGCGGGTTTAGTGGAGCTAAAATCAAGATTTTCAATCAAGAGTTCAGAAAAATTGATGCTAGAGAAGGTCATGACAGGTAACAGGAGGTTATAGACTGTAGATCTTGAGAATAAGAGAATGAATATTCAGCCTATTTCTAAATCCTTCCGTATTAAAAACAGCTTCGCAGAGTCTGAGAACTTACTAGAGTAAGAGAATTAGATAATACTCTAGGCATAGTAAGACATCATCCATGGCGATCAAAGTAGAAGTCCTTGAGCCTATCAAGGACGAAAATGATATTGCATTGCCAAAGGTCACGGGGGATAGAAGAATCAAGGATTATCTAAACCATGACATCCATGGAGATTATACCAGTTCAGATTTGTCAAAGGTAACTACAGATATACCAACTTTAGATTGCAGATGTGGATGAAGATAGCTCAAAAATGTCCATCAAACTTCCAAGGTTCAAGAAGAAGAGCTTTGCTCTCCTCAAAAAGATGGATATGAGATCTAGAATGTTCCGGCCGATCTTGTCTCAGAAAAGTTCTTGTGAAAAATCAAGTAAGCTTGATAGTCTTACTAAGGACTTAATATAGCTTCAGAAAGTCTGATTCTTCAAAATGGGCCTATCTCGAAGCCAAGAGATGCTTTTTCTCCAAACCCAAAACCTCACTCCAAACCCAAAACACCCAAAAATGCCAATCCTCGAACTCCCTACTCCAGGTCCCACTTTCATCAGCCCTCGTCTCTCCCTCGACCACTGTCTCCAAACAACGTCCAAAAACCCTTCTAAAAAATGCCAAAACTACCCTCCAGTCGAAAACTCATACAAAACCTATACTCACGGGAAGTCCCTATCTCTCATTCAAAAATCCAGGCGCAAACTTGAAAACTCAATTTCCCAAATCTCAATAGGTAAAAACCTTAATTATCAAGACTATAAACCCCAAATCAGCCCAAATTATTTAAAAGCATCGCAATTATTTCTAAATTTCTGTACATAACTTCCTAATTCACACCACAGCCACACCTCTAATCTACCAGTCCCTCTGGCCTCCCCCACCCAGTCACACCCAGTACAGTCAGCCTAAACTTCATTCCAAATCACCGTACAAAAATGAGCCAAAACCCAGTGAAATTTCAAACCTCAAGCGGGATTTTGGGCATGAATGAAGGAATAATAGCGGGAAGAGGAAGAAATTTAAGAAGATTTTGAATGGGAGGAGGAGTTTTGATGTACTGGATATAGTAAGGATTTTGAAGGAACAGTAAGTTTGAAATGGGAATTTTCAATTGGGGAGGAAGGTTTAGGGGTTTTGGGGTTTTGGGGTTTTGGGGTTTTGGGG